CCACCTGGCCGCGGTGCTGTGCCCCCTGCTCTGGGTGACCCTGCTTGGGCAGGGGGTTGGGCTGGGTGACCCACAGAGGGCCCTGCCCACCCCTGCCATGCTGGGATTCTGTGTGATTCTGTGATACAGAACTGCCTGGATGCTGTCATTATGGGTTTAAAACACACTGTTCTGCTGCCCCCGGCCCCGGGTCTCCATTACTGTCTTTGGTCCGAGAGCAATGGCAACGCAAAACCGTTCAGCAAATAGTTCTGTGTTCACCCAGGCATCCAGATGTTTAAACTTGCACAAATGAAACTGGAATGCTTTGTCGGGAGTCGCTGGCGGTGACTTCTGCTGATGTAGGGTCGGAGGAGCTTGGCTTCAGTGGGCTTCCAGCTTCTGCAGCTCCTCTGGGTCTGCGTGCTCCCGTGCTCGGCAGAAGGTGCTGGCAGTGTTTGTGTCAGGGCAGAGCTTGTTTGCACGTACCGTGAGATCAGCTGATGGTACTGCGTGAGCCTTGGGACTCCAACACCGGTGACCTGCAGAATCCACAAATAGCTTCTGTCTTTTGTTTAAAGCTGTGACTTCAGTTCTTGGTCGGACCCGGGCCCGTGTATTGCTGTCAGCAACCGGTAGAAGGCTGGAAATGGGAAGGAAGCGCAGAAGTGAGCCAGGAGCATGGGGTGATCTGCCCGTAAGCAGGCTTCGTGGTGAAACTGTGTGAGCCAAGCTGAAGAGTAACAGGGGTTTCCAAATATTTGTTTGGAAGTATGGAGTTACATCAAGTGTTTAAGAGGCTGGCAGTACTTCCAGGTTTTTCTATGAATTCCAGTTTGCCCCGTTGAAATTGGTGCATAGCTTATCAACACTTAATGAGGGAGTAATTTCATGCTCATCTTTAACTCATTAGTTCTGTTGTCATCCTCCTGTGATAGTAATACGTCCGTTCTGCATGCCATTCAGTTTTTATACCTGTTACCCTCTTCAACTCGCTCCTGAACTTAAGGCTGCTGGGATCTCCGCGTACCTGCGACCCGCCCCTGGGAAGCCTCGGTGTTTCTGCCGGTGCAGCATCGCCGGGGACCGCTTTGGAAAGCCGAGAGCTGAATGGGCGTCCTAGCGTGGCAGAAGTCGGGCTTTCCAGTCTGTTAACGCTGCTTTGAAAGTATTCAGAGATGAATAATCATTGCTATTTATAACGAGCTCTCTGTTGCAAAGGCTGAACTAGCGTTATATTGTAATTGGAGTGAAAGCCGAGTATAACATGGGATTAGAGATTTACTTTATCCCCAAATACTGGCGTTAGCTAAACCCTTCTCCGCGCAGAGAAGAGTTAATTTCCTTGGCTGGGTTAATAGCTTACTTTATCTCAATGCATACAAAGTGGCTGTCAAACATCCTGCTTTATCTGGGCAGAACCCAAAAGCGAGTGTCGCTGTAGAAAATACTTCTATTTACCATCTTTTGGCCAATGTCACAGAATCACAGAATGGTCGGGGTTGGCAGGGACCTCTGTGGGTCACCCAGCCCAACCCCCTGCCCAAGCAGGGTCACCCAGAGCAGGGGGCACAGCACCGCGGCCAGGAGGGTCTTGGGGCACAGCACCGTGGCCAGGATGGTCTTGAGTATCTCCAGAGAAGGAGACTCCACAGCCTCCCTGGACAGCCTGGGCCAGGGCTCCGGCACCCTCAGAGGGAAGAAGTTCTTCCTCGGGTT